AGTAAGTAAATCATTATTATATAATTGCTGTAATGTTTAATTGAAGCTAACTAATAACTACCTTGCTTTATATATTTGTAAATGGAACGAATGGGACGGCTGGTTTGAATGAGACAGCTGGTTTGAATGTGACAGCTGGTTTGAATGCGATGGCTGGTTTGAACGTGACGGCTGGTTTGAATGTAACAGCTAGACAGCTGGAAAGAATAGAACAACTGGAACCAACAGAACTGTAATAAGTAACCCAATAATATATAGCTGTTGTAACGTTCAATTGAAAGAGATAGCTAATAACCTACCTCGTTTTATAGCTAAAGCACCTGGAAAACCTGGAACACCAAAACACCTGGAACACCCAAAACACCTGGAACTGAAAACAACAGAATTGTGGTAAGTAACCCAATAATATATAGCTGTTGTAATGTTCAATTGAATGAGATAGCTAATAACCCACCTCGTTTTATAGCTAAAGCACCTGGAACACCTGGAACACCAAAACACCTGGAACACCGAAACCCTAGGACCAATAATGGAACAAGTAAGTAACCTAATAATATACAATCACTGTAATGTTTAATTGAAGGAACTTGCCCACCTTGTTATGATGGATCGCTAGACGGCTGAAACGAATGGGATGGCTGGTTTGAATGCGACGATTGGAACGAATAGAACAACTAGAGCCGACAGAACTATGGTAAGTAAACTAATAATATATAGCTGCTATACTATGTACCTTACTAGTAACCCACCTTGGTTATATGTTTAATACTTATACACCAACGAAATGCAAGTGTCCTAATTTCTTATTTTGCATCACGAAAAAAAAAATTACAAATGTCTATCACGCTAGTGTTGTCAAGGATAGAATAACCAGTGTAGTATAGAACTACTTAAGTTCAACACAAAGGTTATTAAACAATTTGCTTGCACTTTAACTTTGGTTTGTTCTCTTATGTAAAAGACTAACATCTAATCGATATTTTTTTTTTATATGCATATGCGCATTATACATTACACTAATGATTGTACAACTTACTATTACTCTTACATTACACAGGCTACATGTAGCCATTGGCTACACCTATATTTATTCTTTAAAAAAAATAAAATAAATAAAAATAAATTTTTATTACAACTTATATTTTTTTTTGAAATTTCAATCAAAAATACCTCAACAACCATCTAATTAAATTCAATAGATTTTTTTTATTTGAGACTCTATGGTTTCATAAAATTTATATAAAAAAATCATCAAATTTCATTAGGTAGTTGTCAAGATATCTTTGATTCAAGTCAGGTAAACTTATGTTGCAGTTTATATTTTGATAAATGTTTAAAATTTAATCAAAGATATCTTGATAACTGCCTAATAAAATTCGTTAAAATTTATCTTATTTGAATTCTACAAAACATCAGGATTTAAATAAAAAAAGGTCCTCGAATTTCATTAGAAAGTTGTCGAAATATCTTCGATTAAAGCTTTAAAACAATTCAAAATATAAGTTACAACAAAAGTTTGTCTAACTTTGACCAAAGATATTTCGATAACTATCCAATGAAATTCGATGAACTTTTTTTTCAAATTCTATGGAATTATATAATTAAATAAAAAAAAGTTCATCGAAATTAATTAGGTAGTTATCGAGATATCTTCGATTAAAGTTCGAAAAAATTTTAAACGTCTCAAATATGTAAACTATGATAGAAAGTTTGCTGACTTTGATCAAAGATATCTTTACAACTACCCAATTAAATTCGATGAGCTTCTTTATAATCATAGAATTCAAATTAAAAAAGTTTCATCGAATTTCATTGTGTCTGTTGAGATATTTTCGATAAAATTTTTGAAGGTTGTGTTGTTTATATTTCGTCATCACGTGACAGATATGCTATTATCTGATTGGCTGGGCATGAATCAGTCTACTAGTCGTTTTCACCTAACGATTCGGATCACTAAATCTAATGCTAACAACGATTGTCACTTTTTTTCACCATAGCTAGCAGTATACCTATACGTTCTATACCAGGGTTAAGAATTTGGTGACCCTGATCCACTAATCGATGGTCTATATCGATATGACCTATGATGTCATAGTCATGTGACACGTTTATCCTATTTGATTGGCCAGAGGTGGTAATCAGCGAGCAAAAGGTCATAGAAGCAATTTTTGGCTAAAGCGTAATTTTCAGATCGCCCTAACTCAGAGCATGTCCTTGAAGGTATGCCTAATTTTTACCTGTGCCTTGCACGAATAGAAGGGTTTTTCAAAACAACAATAAAGAATTCAGCTAGGAAGTCTGTTCTGATTGTAAAAAAGCAAATCACCATTCAGCGTTAAAATATCGATATGGTATCGTTGTTCCTTAACCATTCACGTGATTAGTACACCAACGCGTTTAAACAGTTTTTTTTAGGATCATGAGTCATTATATCAATTCATCATTTCAGACTTTTAAATTGTTTTCTTGAAGTGCTGTAAAGAAGTAAGACGCGTTGTATTTGCAATGATCTAAAAGTTGCACCGCGACAATACTTGAATTGACGCTAATTAAAATATTATGAAGTTTATTTAATATTCGGCGTTTAAACATATCTCCATTTAAATTAATTTGTTATCTGCATCAAATTGGATGATAGATCGCGTTGTATTAAGATTACGGTGAAAAAAATCTTATCAACTACTTGGTCACAAATTTCAAAACAAGCAATTTTGAATTTTGGACGTCCAATTGCATATTGTGAAACGTAATGATTTTTTATATAAACCACGCACTAAAAATAAACAACCCCAATCGATATAACATTCACTTTTCAACTAAGAAATCAACGTCGAGATCTGTTTGTTAGTATTTGCTCTCAAGTGAGTTAACGATACGTTATTTTTAGATTCTTAAAGCCAACCGATGGTAACCTCTAACGTTTATCGGGATTCTATACTCTTTTACTCTGAAGCCTCCATACATCTTCGAGTTTTATATGTATTAGATCGTTGGCATTATATTTTTGTCTTTGGACAAGAATGCCTCTTTATCAAAGGAAACAAATTCCTCCCATTCCTGCTCCAAAGCTAGATGTTTCCGAGCATGGTGATCGTAACGTTTGGATAATTCCGTACACCTCTGAAATCTTTATTAAATATGAGTATCCTTTAACGTATATCAATTAATTGATCGACTCAAACATCCTAAAAGAAAGTTATAATTAAAAGAATTCATCGAGCCTTCTGTGGTCTATCGTGTAAAGCGTTGGTTTATGCTTCTGTTACCAAGCAAACTGAGCTATATATTTAGTGCTATTAAATATCTTCCTTGACCTAAATTGTACTGGATTCCTTTCTTCGATACACTGTTTTTTAGAGATTATTTGGCACGCATTTCACTTTATAACCGGCCTATTTGGCAATGTGCGCTAACGGGTAAACAAGGACTTACTTATAAAGAAGCACTTGATAGCGAGAACACGCATAGAGAAGCGTTACATGAAAAGTTCCCAGAGGGTTTGAAACGTCAAATATTGGAGTTTGTTCAATTTCGTGGGTAAAACATTCAATAGTCCTTTAGAAAAAGACACGTCAATTTATTCAATCATTTATTCATTTACTATTATTATATATTTATTTAAAATACGCATATCATATTAATAGAAACGGAAAGGTTAGATGTCCTTGTGAATAGAATATTTGAAACGTATAGAGATCAATATGCTCTCGGTGAAATTGTATATGTATTATTAGACGGGAAAAAGTAAATTTATGCAACACGTTTGTTTGAATTATTTCATTTTATTTATTTTATTTAAACATCCGTAATTTATTATTTTTCCATGATAGAACCAAGGCAAAGATAGCGGACGTTAAATTTGATGACGCGAACGAAGAAATGAGCTCTTCTGGGGCAAAGGCAAGTAGCTCTAAGTCTCGCAAAGCCGTGTCTTCGCAAATTACCTATCGTGTACAAATGTTAGACGAAGGCGGAAACGCATTGAGACAAAAAAGCAGTAAGAAATACATAACAAAGACCTTTGCTGGAGGCGAAGCCATGAGGTTAGTTTTGTTTTAGTTAAAATTCTATCAGAAAATTACATTTACACTACTATTGTAATTGATTATTCAACAATAAAATTTAGCCGTGTGGATAAGTTATCATTTACAAAGACTCTTATTCGTCAGTTCATTAAAGAGTCTGCGACTAAGAGTACATATGTTCGTGCGCCGTGGCTAATAAAAGTATATGACTATGTTTCATTTTTTATTTCAATTCTATGAAAAACAATAAATGTTGACAAATCGTTAACAATGCATTACTAGAAAAGCATAGCAAAAAAATATGGAATGTCGACGAAGCTTCCGGAAGACCTACAGAAAGCCAAAGATGAGGCTATCGAAAAAAGCAAAAAACGCAAGGTATGACATCTTGAAATATTTGTCTTACATAAATTAAGAGATTTTATTTAATAAAAAGTATTATATTACAAAGATTTCATCACGTGATGTACCAGCGAAAAAATCAAAGAACAATAAAGGAACTAGTAGTAATGTACGAGATTCAAAGAAGCAAGAATCTGCATACGCGGGTAAGAAGGTCACATCTAAGAAACAAGGCAATCAGAAGCAGCCTTCTAAGAAGCAAGCATCAAAAAAGCAAACTGGCAAATCTGCAGCGGAAAAAGCAAAACAAGAAAAGAAAAAGCAACAGGAACTTGAAAAGAAACGCAAAGAAGCCGAGCGGCAAGCGGAAAAAGACAAGAGATTGAAGGAAAAGGAAGAGCAAAAACGTTTAAAGGCTGAGGCAAAGAAAAGTATGATTAAATTCATTTTAAAAAAATTCTATTAATCTCGTAACGCAACTTATTAAATATGTAAAATAAACAGTCAAATACCCAATAGAGGATTTGGAAGTATCACTTGATAAAAATTTACTTCAAAAGAGACCTTTATTAAGTCAAGAGTTTAAAGTTCCACAAAACTCTGTAGGAACTTTATTGATGATTTGGAATTTTTTGTCAATATTCGGGTAAATTGTCATTAAAATTTCCTTTAATCACGTTAAACTTTAATAAATATTAATTAATATTTATCAATTCAGGAAGCCACTTGGCTTGTCGTTTTGTACACTCGATGATTTTGAAACATCACTTTGCCATAATATGTCAAATCCTCGGTGCTATTTAGTTATTGAAACGCACGTAGCGTTATTAAATGCAATCATAAAAGATCAACTGCTCTTCAAAGGCAAAAAACGTCAAACAACGTCTCGTAATACCGCTGTTAGAGATAGTATGAAGAATGAGTCCGATAGTGATCCAACACAAACGGATCAAGCTAATGATGAAAGTGCAACAGGTTCAGCCTGGGAAATTTTAAATGAATTAGGAAGAAGATGGGATAAGAGAATCATATCGCCTGGTGATGGGCGGAGAGGTTGGGAGAGTGTTCTTATTGGATGCATTCAACAGGTGTGAATTGATTTTTCTCTTTGTATCATTTAGTTTATTATCCATATATATAACTTATGTTTAATGCTTATTGCAGTTGGGCACATATGAATCCATCCCAAATTTGGACAACATACTTTCACATTTGGTACCTAATGATCAAGCTGATTCAGATGAAGATTTTGAAGAAAGTTACGCAACCCTTGAAGTATTGGATAAATTGCAAATATTAAACTTTTTAGTTAACATTACAACAAAAACTACCGTCATTCATGATTACATCGATAGATGTGCAGAAAAATTAGTAGAGCTCAATAAAGAAAAAAATGACCTCATTAAAGAGAAACGACAAGTGTGAGTTTTATAAACTCAGACGTAAAATTTGATATAATCAAAATTTCAAAGATATTGCTTACATAAATATGCTTTTCGGATTTTAGCTCATGCTCATTTGCAGAAATCTCTAAAGGTAATCTCCCGTCAACATCAATTTCCAAAGTAAGCACTCTGCATAATACTGGAGATGCAACAGACAATCCTGTAGGCGAAGACTCTGATGCATTGAAAGCTATAAAACGTAAATTAGAGGAAGATGAAATTGCAATACAAAAAAGGGTAAAGTTTAAATAAAGGTTGAGTTATCACCGTTTATTTATATCTAAAAAAATTAATACTTTGGTATAAAAATATCAGGAAGAACAAATTGAAAAGGACAAGCGGAAATATGCGTTGCCACGAATCTCACCATTAGGACGTGATCGCTTCTATAATAAATATTATTACACTGACTGCATAGGTGCCGCAGTCGGTGAAAAATATGGAACGGGGAGGATTTTTGTAGAGACACCAAGCACTTATGATTTGCAAATCATGACAGAGAAAGAAGAACAACGGTTCAACAAAAGACGAAAAATTGAGGAGGTTTCTTTTGGCTCAGGTTCTGACAATCAAACGAAATGGGGTTATTATGATGATATAAGCCAGGTTTGTTTAAATCGTGTTGGTAATCAATAAAAGTTTATTATTCTGTTATTAATTTCGTAAATAAATTGTTAGGTCGAAGAGTTAAGGCAGTGGCTTAATACCAAAGGAATACGGGAATTAGCGTTGAGTAATGAGTTGACAGCACGTTATCAAGATATCTCATTAAGCATGAATAAGCGGCAACAAGTTTGTATTTTCCTTTATTATATACTATGATTGCGTCAAATTTTAACTATAGTTTTACCGATTAAAACCAGGACATGGCTATATCGTATTCGGCTCAAGAAGTACGAAGAAGTAGACGTACTCAAGCAACACTTGCAACGCTATCAGCACAGCCATACATGAAATGGACAAATAAGTTTGTTAAATAAGTTTAAGCCAACAGACAATTTTTCGATTATAAGCCTTTATATGATTAAAGTGGACTTTGCGAAAAAATAATTAATAATAATAATAGATGTTTCTTGTACAAGCTAGAATATATAGAATTGCAGGTTGTAGTGTATTAAAGCAATTTGTTTATAATACATTCTAGTAAAACTGAATTTGAAATTCGGTTTTATTTTATTATAATATACTAGTCAAGGATAACGTTTATTCTTTTATTATATACTTGTCAATCGCAAAATACCAATTACGGATTGTAATTTGTTATGATGACGGTGACAGGTCGTCCAGCAATGCTTTTAAGATTGTTAAATCTTTTATATTTACTTTTTATAAGTACATTATATAAATCATTTTTATAAGCGTATTTAAGATCAAATATATATTCTAAATATTAAAAAAAAACAAATGTTTTTAAGTTAGAATTTTTTGAATAAATAAGCAAATAAAAATTATATATAGTATTTATATATTGAGATTTGCCATTTATCACCGCTGGTGATCATTACCAATGTATGGTGCAGACAACCTAGTCCAACAAATAAAATTGATGAAATTTAAGGGTAGAGGTAGGGATGTTAAATGTTCTGTCCGAACTGATCCGGCTCCAAAAGTTGAGTCAGTACCAGACACATAGGCAGAAGTTCGTCTGATTGGCTAATAAATTCAATTTAATTTTACATTATTTATACAGTTTAGAGTACTTTT